CTATGAATTTCATATACTAATATCTGAAAAATTTTTAATACTATGACTAATTTTGTTCAACTTTATTGGTTGCATTATTAGTAAATAATTAAAATATTATAGTCAATAATGTAAAATTTCTAAACCTTTCACAGTATAATATACACAACAATGATGTATATATATATATCTTTATAAATTGTCAAAGATAATGAACAATATTTTCAATTTTCATATATTTGAATAATAGAGTATGTATTCCAAGATATAGTTTTTTAAGTGACATCTTCACTTTTCAAATGAAATGGAAGGACTTCAAGTTTATTCAAAAATTTATTATGTAATTTGCTATAATGTAAACCTATCAGTTTTCAAACAATTCTAGTTTTTAATTTATTTTTTTATAAAAAAAAGTATCCATATTATGTACTACTTTTAATGAAACTTTAAGATTATTAAAGTTCAACTGAGTATCTCTTTGAATCCTTTAATTTGATTTTCATATATTTGAAAAACTCTATTAAAATCACTTTTATATAATTATATGGTATTTGATATATATATTGCGTAGAGCCATAGACCGGTTTTGTCTAACGCTCGCTCTATTAAAATTATTTTTAAATAATTGTATGATATATGTCAGCTGTGATGATTCTATTACTAGCTCACTTCTGTGCTCTGTACGTACTCTTACTAACAACATCTACAAATGTAATTATTGTATCAAATCTAGTTAAATTGTTGATTTTTATTTCTGCAAATTCTTTCAAGTATAAGGAAATCCTACAAATATTTTATGTTATATAATTATAGTTTTATTACATTTATAATTGATAACAATCATTAATTTTGTCGATTTTGCAAAATGCGTAATTAAAGATAGCATATGCATGAAACATAGAACCATGTATAGCAGAAATAATTAATATAGTTGAATACCTTCAGTTTTAATTAATTATGATAGTAAAAACTATGAAATCATTTTTGTTGCAATTTCAACTATAAAAATTAATGGACTATATGTATATAATGCTTTGTCATGTTAATTATGAAAACATACTAATAAGATAGTAAGAATTTGAACATTGTTTTCTTTAATATAAAGTTTTTACAATTTAATCTCCTTTTTTTTATATATAAAACTTTAGGTACTGACGAAAATAATAAAATTATTAAAATAAAAATTATAAATTATACTGTATAACATACTTCTTGAGAAAGTTATTTTTAAAATGTTTCTAAATAAAGAGTTTAAATAAAAATTATTTAAAAACTTCTTTTTTAAATTTCAATCAAATGATAACACCAATTTTTATATTTTTTTAATGAAAATTTAGCAGTATTTTAAAATTTCCTTTTGTTTTCGATGTGTACCATATACATTGAATAAGTTTTTTTTTTTTTCCTAAGATATTTTAAATATTTTTAATTATGGTTAATTAAAATGTATATGTGTATGATTACTGAATAGGATTTGAAAAAAAAATTCTAAAAATTCTAAAATTTCTAAAAGTCAAAATAATTGACAATTTTTTATAAAGGAAGAAGAGTATGATTTTATATATTTTACTTGAAGCTCTTTTGATTTTGATTAATTTATTAAAATATATGATAATATAAAACCACTTAATTGGTAGCGAATAGTAGTGAATATTGTTTTACAAATTGGTACAATTATTTAAAGTATTTTAAGTTGATGTCATTGAAATTCAAATTCAATTGATGGAAATTATTGGAAAATGATTTAACTTCTAAAATAGCAATATTTTAAATCAAAAATATATGATAATTTGCTTATTATTTTCTTCATTAATAGGGTCTTGTTTTAAAAGTTATTTTTAACTACTAGTATCAATTTTCAATTAAAATACTTAATAATAAAAAAATATTTTTTTTAAAAGATTCAACATGTTTCTAACTCAACAAATATATTAATATTGAATACTTTAAATAGCATCTAATCACATCTTTATAATAAGTTCAAGATAAATAAGTTTCATATGAAAATAACAATATTTGTAAAAAAAATAAAAGACAGAAGGGACTGTAGGATTTTGTAATCACAATCAATGGTTTGAATAAATCACATTAAAATTTTTAATTCCGATCTAATTGATGATTTATAGAATACTTATTATTCAATCCCTGTAAAAAAAGTCAATCCGTTTTTTTTATTCCATCTTTTTTCCGTAAAAGGTTCATATTCCTGGAATTAATAACTTTATATCACGGAATTTATCGAATTATTTGCATTTTCCGTGAATGGATCCGTGAAAGGCTCATTTCACGGAGTTTTTACAGAAATAATGGATAAAATTTTTTATAGGGAATAATTGATTATACATCACTTTAATGAATTATACAACATTAATTGCGCCATATAATATATTTATAACGTTGATACCACTAACTGCTTAACGTTAATTGAATGAAAAAGTCACTTTACGCTCATATTTGTTAGTTAATCATTTTTGGTGTGATATTCTGTCAGAATTTTCTTGAAAATATTTAGAGGTTTTATGAACATCTCTCAGCGTTCAAGTGACTCAACAGTACATTGATTGTTTAAATCAAAAGAGCTTTACGAATCACATACAGTATTTTCGTCGTTGATTTTTATTTAATTAATGATACTACATATTTTACTTATTTCCCGGAACAAGATTTATTTAACAAATATTTGGGTATTATAATTCATTCTAAATTTTTTTTTATCAGCTGTTAATCTGCAATTATTTATTATGTAATATGTTGATAATATTTTAAATGGGTTAATTTCCCCCAGATTTACAGCCTTAAAATTTCTTTTAAATCAGCATCAATTAAAATATCGCAAAATACTTGTGAACCATTCTCAAAATTTACTTAGTTCACTTTAATAGGCATGTTAGTTTGGATTCTAAACATGGAATTAGCTCTCCAAGTAAAAATATTTATGACTTAAAATAATTTATTTTATTTAATTGTTAAATTTTTTAGTTAAATCTTACAGAATTTTTTATGTGGTTATGAAATAATGCCTTAAATTTGTTAAATGAAAAATTTAGGCAATATTAAGGAATATCAAAGTTCTCGCGTATAATTATCGTGATTCATATTTTACCATTTATAAAAATCAAAAAAGTAACATTTTTTTTCTTGTTAAATTTGATAATAATCATAGTATATACAGTTTATGTGAGATATAGATACAACCGTTCTAAATTAATACTTAGTATGAACCTCACGTTATATGAAATAGTAAAATGGGGATAACCTTATCGCTTATTATCCGGAGCGGGAGCGAAGCAAGGACTTTTTAATAACGAAAATGGAGATCACGTGAATTTCTGCACGTGCTACAAGTATGAATAATTTTTTCTGGAAAAAAAAATTTCAATTGGCATGTTTAAAATTAAATAATAATAATATTTTTTATTTTTGATTCGGACTTACAATGATCTCCATTTCTTAAATTTTATCACTTAACTAAATAATAATTATTTCAAATCATTATTGCATTAACCGAGAATCAGCTAAATTTTGAAATTATACTCAAATTACTCAAATTAAAAATTGAGAGACTAACGAAAAGATGATTTTTAGCATAGATTTAGAAACTGGAATTAAACCTAACCAAACATGGTTTCATAAAAATAAACCCATTAGTAGTAGTTGGCCACACGATCCATATGACCATTGGAAAGAAATAGAAAATTTCGCTAAATTAAATTTTATGAGATTGTAACATTCGTGAAATCCGATAACTATTCATGAAATTTATTCATTTGCATATACTTTTATCATATTGAAATTTTTTTAAGCGAAGAACGCACTTGTGATTGTATTTATTTTTAATCTATGTACCACGTTGTGTGGTGAAATAATGCAACTACGAATTTTAGATGATGTAACATACATCATGTAGTTTAATAATCGAACTGCAATTCTAGCGAAGAATTCAATCTATTAAATCATCAATTAATAAAAAAAAACTTTACTAGCGCATGCGTAAACTGTTTATTTTAATTGAAAAATTAAGTTCTAGCCACTATAGTTAATTTTATACATTATAATAATCAAGAAGAGAAAGTATAGTTTTTATTAGAAAAAAAAAAGAAATACTAATCGGATTTTATATTTTTAAACTTATCATAAAATCCAAACGAACAATATTTTAGATTAAGCAAAATACTAACAATAACAAAGGAATATGCAACGTACTATATAATTATTTAAAAATAAGCTTAATTATTTTTTCTTAATTTTTCTAATTTATCTTGAGCATATCGAGTTCCTTGTTTAGCCGATTTCTCGTACCAATAAATTGCTTGATTTATATCTTTTTCAATTCCCTCTCCATATTCATACATATTAGCAAGATTATATTGAGCAAAACCATATCCTGAATTTGCTGCCTTGCGATATAATTCAAAAGCTCTGTCATAATCTTTATCAACACCTTCTCCATTTTCATACATAAGGGCAAGATTATTTTGAGCTATTATATGTCCTAAATTTGTTGCCTGTTGATATAATTCAAATGCCTTTTGTTTATTAACACTAATTCCAATTCCATAATGATAAAGATAACCACAATCAAATAATCCCATTGCGTAACCCTTATTTGCTATTTTTTCAAAATATTCAAAAGCTAATTTTTCATCTTTTACAACTACACAACCAAATTTATAAAATAATCCAACATAATATTGTGCTAATGTGTGATTTTGTTTTGATACTTTAATGAATAAGTTAAACGCTTTCTTTCTATCTACACTTGTCTCAATTCCTAAATAATTAAAATGTCCAAGTAAAAATATGGAATCTGGATTATTTTGATTAATTAATAACCAATCATAAATTTCTTTCGAATTTATATTGTTATCCTTAAAATGATCAAGAATAAATTTTCTTAATACGCTTTTATTTTGATCTTTTCCTTCATTATGTACTTTGAAAATATAATTTACTATATTATTAACTATTTTATTTAAATTGTTTTCAGATGAAATATCTTCATTTGTTGTATATGTCATTTCTTCTGTATTCATTTTATCAAAATTTTCAATAATTTGAAACATTTCCCCATGTAATGAACTGTTAATACTTGAAGTATCAATATTGATTGGATTAAAATTTTGTCCATCTGTTGATGTTGATTGAAGATTTAATTCCGTTTGATGATTTTCTGTTGTTTTCGTTATAATTGCTTTTAATCTTTCTAATACTTGATTTATAGTTGGTCGATTGTCTGGTTCAATATCCCAACATTCTAAAAGACATAATAATATATTGTAAATAAATTTTAAGTTATAATTAGTGAGATTTCATACGTACCGGTATAAATTTTAATATAATGTTCAGGCGTATTAGGAATAGGTTCTTCTCTACGACCTTGTTGTGAAATTTCTATAGCTAAATCAATATCGTATTCTTCAGTAGCAAAGGGTGGTTTACCACTGGATATCTCCCAAAATAACACACCAATACTATAAATGTCACTTTTTTCATTTAATGAACATATTTGATTTGAGTTTTTATTTTTTTTTCGTCCACTAAATCTTTTTGGATCAACATATGGAACACATCCAAAAATTTTAGATTTTGTATTGGATGATGATTCGATTCTTTTTGACAACCCGAAATCGGACAGTTTTATAGTATTTTGATGGACTAATACATTGCCGGAATGCTATTAAATTAATGTGACATTAAAAATATGAAAAAAAAATTACAAATAATTATTTTATTATTTAATAAAATGTATTATTACCAAATCACGATGCACTATTCTTTCATTATGTAAACACGACACTGCGCTAGCTAGCTGGTACGCCAAGTTATATTTGTCATTCCAAGTAAGATTATTGAAGTTTTCCTTTAAATAATTTTTGAGAGTACCAGAATCAGCATACTCCATCACTAGCAAATAATTTTTCGACTGAACATTTTGATTTTCTAATGATAAATTATAGAAATAACCATTTTTTAATAAATTACATTTTTGCAAGTCAAATAATAAAAATAAGTATACCATAAATGAATTTTACCATACCTGGGTCAAATTGTGCAACTCCATAGAATTTAATAATATTGTTATGAAATTGTATATCACGTTGAAGCTTGAGCTAAAATATAAATATAAAATATAAATTTATGAATATATTTTACTATGAATATTAAAATATCATACTGTATTATAAGTTATACCTCATGAACGATTTCTTTTGCAGTGACGTCATTAAGATTAAAAAAGGATTTCAACGCTAAATATTGTTCTGAATTTTTCCAATTTGCACGATAAACCTTTCCGAATCCTCCAGTGCCAATTCTTTGAACATTACTAAAATGTTCGTATTCATATAATCTAAAATATTCTTTAGAAATGGCTTCTTCAATCCAATTAGTACATTCATTTGTATTTTTGGTATTTTGCATTTTTGATATTATTAATAATAGTAAAGTAATAATCAAAAGACGAATTTTATTAATTTTATTTAATTTTTTTCATTATATATCGAATTTGGTAATGTAGTACAGCACACAAAAGGTTGTATAAGAAGCCACATAACTGCGTGCATATGCAGCAGATCTATATTTAGAAAATTGCTAAAGTTCACCAGCGGTGATGGTCACCTTACCAGCATTATGATGTACTACTTTTAGACCAGAATTAAAAATCTAATAAAACACTGGCCGGCATGATTACATCATAATTTCACCACCGGTGATGTTTAGCAATACCCATATATTTATATTCAAATAATTAAATTTGAAAAGAGAAGTATATTTGTTAGTAATATAGGATTGACATATTGACCTAAATCAAAGTTTCTCATAAATCAATGAAAAGGTAAGAAAAATAGACCGTTTTATTTAAATCTTTTAGATGTGATTGGTGAACCAAAAAAATTAATTTTTGACGTTGCTGATTAATTTAAGCTGGCATTGTAAATTTATTACGATCCAGATATTTAGCCATAGCTATAAAATAATGTAATTTGAGTAATATTATTATAAAAATGTTATTTTATTATATTTTACATGTGTTTAGGATATTGAAATTTTTTTACGTATTGTAAGCGAAGAAACACAGTTTGTTTTTTTTAAAAAAAAGTATTAAACGATAAATTGTACGGTTATTTAAAGATAGGTCAGATTTTAAAAAAATGGTAACGAAAAAAGCTTTATTAGTACATGCGTAAAACTTTTTATTTCCATTAAGTAATTAATTAATTTCTATTATTATACAGTATCAGGTATAGATAATTTAAACGTAGAAATAATATGATCCTAATTTTCACTTATTATTTGGTGCAGTACATCAAATTCTAATAGTATTTAATTTATTCAGCTTAATCGTTCGTTTAAACTTGCGGTTATGCTGTACTTATTTGCAAATTAAAATCTACCATATAATTTAGTACTATAAAGAACTGAATACTGTATTCTTGAATATTAGGTAAGAAGTAAAATTTGGACGAGGGAGTCAAATATAAAATTAAAAAATTATCAAAACAAAAAAAAAGGAGACGCAAAATTTTCAAGACAAAAAAGGGGGACTGTGCAAAATAAGAAAAAAGGAAATTAAGATTGTGACAGTAAATATACGAGGGTTAAATAAAGGGTGCGGGACAAAGTAAAACGATGTAAGGAATAACGCCGAAGTGGTATAAATATATTTTGGATCTAGTAACAGAAGATAATAGCATATACTACATGGATCCAGAGATACAACCGGTCTAAATTAATACTTAGTATGGACCTTACGTCATGAAATAGTAAAATGGGGATAACCTTATTGCTTATTATCCGGAACGGGGGCGAAGCAAGGACTTTTTATGAACGAAAACTGAGATCACGTGAATTTCTGCACGTGCTACAAGTATGAATAACTTTTTCTGGAAAAAAAAATCAATTGGCATTTAACAAGTTCTTTAAAATTAAATAATAATAATATTTTTTTTTTTTTGATTCGGACTTACAATGATCTCCATTTCTTAAATTTATTAACTAAATAATAATTATTTTGAATCATTATTGCATTAACTGAGAATCAGCTAAATTTTGAAATTATACTCAAATTAAAAATTGAGAGACTAACGAAAAGATGATTTTTAGCATAGATGTAGAAACTGGAATTATAACCTTGTTATGTTATAAAACTAACCAAACATGGTTTCATAAAAATAAAACCATTAGTAGTTAGCCACACGATCCATATGACCATTGGAAAGAAATAGAAAATTTCGCGAAATTAAATTTTATGAGATTGTAACATTCGTGAAATCCGATAACTATTCATGAAATTTATTTATTTGCATATACTTTTATCATATTGAAATTATTTTAAGCAAAGAACAAACTTGTGGTTGTATTTATTTTTAAATCTATGTATCACGTTGTGTGGTGAAATAATGCAACTACGAATTTTAGATGATGTAACTGAACATACATCACAATCAACGTGATGTAGTATAATAATCGAGCTGCGAAGAATTCAATCTATTAAATCATCAATTGATAAAAAAAAACTTTACTAGCGCATGCGTAAACTTTTTATTTTAATTGAAAAGTTAAGTTCTGGCCACTATAGTTAATTTTATGCCTTATAATGATCAAGAAGAGAAAGTACTATAGTTTTTATTAGAAAAAAAATACTATTTGGATTTTATATTTTAAAAAAAATTATCATAAAATCCAAACGAACAATATTTTAATTTAAGCAAAATACTAACAATAACAGAATATGTAATGTACTGTATATTTAAGAATAAGCTTAATTTTTTTTTTATTAATTTTTCTAATTTATTTTGAGCTTTTTGATCTCCTTGTTTAGCAGACTTCTCGTACCAATAAATTGTTGTATATTTGACATATAACATTAAGCAATACTTGCAATATTTTTGTTTAAATAGACTTGTTGTAGAATATGACCTTTTGCAATAGTAACATTTATTTTCACCATTATTAAAAGGAATAAACTTAATTATATCCTTTTTAATTCCTTTTCCATATTAGCAAGATTATATTGAGCTTCACTATTTCCCGAATTTGCTGCCTTGTGATATAATTTAAAAGCTTTGTCATGATCTTTATTAACGCCATTTCCATTTTCATACATAACGCCAAGATTATTTTGAGCCGTACTATCTCCTAAATTTGCCGCCTGTTGATATAATTCAAATGCTTTTTGATAATTAACACTAATTCCAATTCCGTTATGATAAAAATAACCACACTTAAATAATCCTATTGCGTGACCCTTATTTGCTATTTTTTCATAATATTCGAAGGCTAATTTTTCATCTACTACAGTTCCACGACCAAATTGATAACATAATCCAACATAATATTTTGCTAATGCGTGATCTTGTTCTGATACTTTAATGAATAAGTTAACCGCTTTCTTTTCATCTTCACTTGTTTCAATTCCTAAATAATTAAAATATCCAAGTAAAAATATGGAATCTGAATTATTTTGATTACTTAATAACCAATCATAAATTTCTTTCGAATTTATATTATTATCATTAAAATAATTAAGAATATATTTGATCGTTTTTGTATCTTTTCCCTCATTAGCCAATTGATTAATATAATTTACTATATTATTAACTATTTTATTTAATTTTTTTTCGGTTGAAATATCTTCATTTGTTAATGATGTATATAGTACCATTTCTTTTGTATTAATTTTATCAAAATTTTCAATAATTTGAGACATTTCTCCATGTAATGAATTGTTAATATTTGAAGTATCAATATTGATTGGATTAAAATTTTGTCCATCTGTTGATGTTGATTGAAGATTTGATTCCGTTTGATGATTTTCTGTTGTTTTCGTTATAAATGCTTTTAATCTTTCTAATACTTGATTTATAGTTGGACGATTGTCTGGTTCAATATCCCAACATTCTAAAAACATTATAATGTTAATAAATTATAAATTATAATTAATGAGAGTTCATACGTACCAGTATAAATTTTAATATAACTTTCAGGCGTATTAGGAATGGGTTCTTCTCTACGACCTTGTGAAATTTCTAAAGCTAAATCAATATCGTACTCTTCAGTATCAAATGGTGGTTGACCACTAGATATCTCCCAAAATAACACACCAACACTATAAATGTCACTTTTTTCATTAAATGAACATGTTTGATTTGAGTTTTTATTTTTTTTTCGTCCACTAAATCTTTTTGGATCAACGTAAGGAATTTTTCCAAAAAATTTAGTTTTTGTATTGGATGATGATTCGATTCTTTTTGACAACCCGAAGTCGGACAATTTGATAGTATTTTGATGAACCAATACATTACCGGATTGCTATTAAATTTATATGACGTTAAAAATTGAAAAATAAATTTATAATTATTATTTTATTATTTAATAAAATTAATTACCAAATCACGATGCACTATTTTTTCATTATGTAAACACGACACTGCGCTAGCTAGTTGGTACGCCAAATTATATTTGTCGTTCCAGGTAAGGTTATCGAAGTTTTCCTTTAAATAATTTTTGAGAGTACCAGAATCAGCATACTCCATCACTAACAAATAATTTTTCGATTGAACATATTGATTTTCTAATGATGAATAAAAGTAATAACATTTTTGCAAAGTTAAATAATAGAATAAGTATACTTACTATAAATGAATTTTATCATACCTGGTTCAAATTGTGCGACTCCATAGAATTTAATAATATTATTATGAAATTGTATATCACGTTGAAGCTTGAGCTAGAATATAAATATTATAATATTAATTTAATACATATTATTAATATAAAATGACAATAGTATACTTATTACATAATTTATACCTCATGAACGATTTCTTTTGCAGTGACGTCATCAAGATTAAAAAAGTATTTCAATGCTAAATATTGTTCTGAATTTTTCCAATTTGCACGATAAACCTTTCCGAATCCTCCAGTGCCAATTCTTTGAACATTACTAAAATATTTGTGTTCATAAAGTCTAAAATATTCTTTAGAAATAGCTTCTTCAATCCAATTAATACATTCATTTGTATTTTTGGTATTTTGCATTTTGATATTATTATTGGTCATAAAGTAAAATCAAAAGACGAATTTTTATAAAATTTTTTTAATTTTTTCATTATATAATATTTAATGTCGTACAGTACACAAAAGGTTGCACAAAAAGCCACCTGCGGGCTGCGGCGTTTAAAAAAATAAATAAATTTGATTAAATTTAGTGTATTAACAAAAGAAAAAGAAAAATAAATTTGACAGTAATTTCGGGTTATCGGGTTGATCATACTGACCTAAATTAAAAGTTTCTCATAAATATAATGAAGGTAATCAATATTCTCAGTTGCTATAGCGAATTTAGAAAAATCGATAAAAATAGATCAACATTTTATTAAACTAATATTCGAACCAAAGGCTCGTCTTTTAGGGGTTTGTACGAGTCTTTTAGATGTGACTAATTAATGAACGATTAATTTGAGACTGCCATTATAAATTTACTGCGGTTCAGATGTTTAATGATCATTGGACATAGTTATTAAATAACGTAATTTTGATTTTCGAGCAATATTATTAGTTTTTTATATATTACAAGTGTTTAGAATATTGAAATTGTTTGTGTATTGTTAAACTAAAAATGTTCAAACAATAATTTAATGTCTTCAAATATTTTGAGCATGATTTGACATCCTTGTTTAGAAAATTATTCAATTCCATCTCCTCCTTCATATTAACAAGATTATATTGAGTGAATCTATCTCCTAAATTTGCCGCTTTTATATAATATGGCCTCACTTCTCTTATTAACACTAGTTTCATCATAACAATCCTAACATCCTTATTCTACCCAAATGTTCTTGCTTTGTTATCATCTTAGTTAATCGATTTCATTTCCAGTTACATAAGATAAAACTATTTCTTAATTTTACCGCTTTTCAAATACTAAATAAGCAGTTTTTTTCAACTTTTTTAATTCCACTATGTACAATCCTTTTAAAAGCTAAATTTTCATTTTTTTATGGTTCCATTATCAAATTCATAACATGCTCCAGGAAATTTTTTCCAAGTAAAATCCACATGGAAATCCACATCAAATATTGTGGAATTATGTGAAAATCTGAATAGTTCCAATATTTTCCAAATACCCTGTGACGAAACACATGGTATTTTCTAGGATACAGTATATGAGAATGTATAGAATTCCACATATTTCTGAACCGATCTATCTAAAAATTTCATGAAGTTTACACTTATTTAGTTAATTAGGTTAATTCATGATAGCATACCATAGCAAAAAAGAAATAGTTGTATTTTTTTAGTTATGAATTATTTAGTTAACATTTTATTTTTATCAAATTAGATTTACTTGGAGTGGTACGAATTAATATTGTAAATGTTAAAAATCTCAATAGATACTCTGGATGTAAAAATTACTTGTTTAAAGGGTTGTAACAAATATAACACAATTAATGTCTGCAAAAACGTCAGACTTATATATTTCAATTCATGACATTGATACTAAAACTATTATTTCCTTTTATAATTTATGTAATCGCTTATCAAAGTCAAGATGATAGTAAATGATGATGAAAAAGTAAATCGATGATAGTGTATTAATTGCAAATAACTTGAATTCCTTTCATTGTTATAAGATAATTATAATTTTATTAATTATTTAATATTTTACTCATATATTGAATACATTCGCGACTCTTTACCTACAATACTCTTTAAAGCTTCATTATGGAATGAGAAAGATTATGTATCTTATATGCATATGGATCAAAGATACTGAGGATTGTCATCAGGCACTTAAAACCAATGAATCTTCTTGGTTGGCGAGGCCATACAATCTGCAACCATAGACGATCCTATAAAAAAATTCTGAAAAAAACTCCGATAAATGATCATTTTCCTAGTTTTCATCTTGAAGAAACTCAGACACGCACGTGATCGTTTTTCTGAAAAATTTTTTATAGGGCGTATCCTCAATCAACAAAAACTAAAATTAAATATGAAGATATCAATGAATTTGCTGAAAATTCTGCTGAAGAATTTGTACTGAGCTTATTAAATTTTAATTAAAGCCTGAAAATGCTAAGAGGCTTGTTTCCCAGCAAGTCAATGCCGATACATTATCTATTAATAAATATGAAAAAGCACGGGAATGACTACAACAGGAAGTGTTAAAGATTATTAGATGAAGCTAATTAATGAATCGGCTGTTGAAGAAATTATAACTGAAGATGGAGTACAAAATAGTGTAAGTTCATCCGAAATAATATCTAACAAAATTACTGAAGAACTTGTAGTAGTACATGCTGCATTATTTTGCCAAAAGAATGATGGATCTCTACAACTTTCTCTAAAATTTTGGCATAGCTTTCGCGAGGTATACTTCTGTTATTCAAATTTCCCAAAATTTCCTTTTCCCCATTTTACTATCAAACTGCATTCGCCTCCATATATATTATGTAATCGGATAAACCTTTTTCCTTTTCTAAATATTTAACAGTTATTCTTTTATGAATATAAGGCATTCTCGGAGCAAATGCGCCAAAAATGTCAAAAATACTGTTTCCAAAGAACTTTCTCAGTCACGAAGGTTGTGCGATAATTTTTGACTTCTAGATAACGATGATATCGATAAATCGGTTATTCAGCATTTGATAAACTCATTGCAATACAGAAACCATGAAGGCTATTTGGATTCAACTCCTATTCAAGAGAAAAATACTTTAAAAAAAAATGATAGATTATATTAATAGAATAAATTTTGTCCATAAGCTTTAGTTGATAACGATGGTCTACTATATACTGTATCTGTTGCTATGCATGTTAATGATGAGAAAAAGCTATTACAAAATATGCATTATTATTTTCAATTTTCATAATTACCATTTCAGTATAATGAAAATACAAACTTCTACAAATGATTCATTTAATATCCTTAATATTACAATTGTAAATTCAAATATATGGCTTAATATCCTCTTTTTAAAATATATTCACATGGATAATTTATATGTTTATTGAACATTTTAACATGATCTTTTTTTCATCAAATTAAAATTACTACTAGATTAAAAATGAAAAATAAGCTCTATTTTAGAAAAAATCATTTTATTTATTAAAACACGTATTTAATTTTTGAATTGAAAATTTGGCGTATTTTTATAGACTAGTTTTCGCAATTAGTCTAATCATACTAATTCCTAATTTGGATGAAAAAAAAAGTTTCAGATTAATTTTATACATTATTAGTATGGGTGAAACTAACGTTTTTCCACTCTAAGAAAAACCCATAAAAATTTTGAATAGCTTTAATATGATATTCTTTTTTATTGTTTTATATGAAATAAATTTTTTTTAGTTGCCCATGATATGCAGTACAGGAGAGCCGTCTTAATCGTAATTGCTATTCTCTTTTTTGTCATGTACTAAGATAAAATAATTTAAATTACAAAAATTACGGCGTGAATGATGAAACTGGTCACTGTAGTTGATTGGCGTGACAGTCACGTGATTTTGGCCTGCATTACGGCATTATGGTCATATAAGTATAAACGAGGTTGAACAAGAAATTACCTCGTGAGCGCAAATAATAAAAGCTAAGTTACAAAAAAAGAAATTAAAAGGATACGTATAATACACATTACAATATTTAATATTAAAATAGGATATTTTTATTTTCCACTAGACTATTCGATCGATGATCCGAGAGTTATTAAGTATAAAGAGAGATGATATCTTAATGAATTCTTTTTTTTAAAAAAAAAAATCGGTAATAATGGTATTGTGATATCGGTAACCAATAATAACACGGCAAGTAATATTACGGTAATTAATAAATTATAATTAAAGCAATTAAAGACAACAGAACTCAATTATTCGTACGATTTTATTTTCTATCTTTTTTTAATCAGATGATGATAAAACTTTTGTGTGTGTTCAGATAAATGGCCTTGACCTCATAATATGTGACCAATTGCAATCATAATATCCATAATTCCGAATTATATTTATTCTAACGATTATTATCTTATATTTTTATATTTTTAATTTCGAATCAGGTACATACATACATATATTCAGTATATACTATAAATACGTACATACTGTACAAGTAAGATTCATCCATTCAAAAGTAATCTAATATATACCTATAATTTCTAAATAATAACATGATATTTTAAAATAATAATAACTAATGATAATATAAATAATAAATAAGATGTATGAACGAAAGAATAAAGGATAATAATTTATAATAATAATTACCATATATGTTAAAAAATTGAAAGAAGGTAAAAAAGTATTAAGAAAACGTAAAAAGTAATAAGTCCCAGCTTAATTACTTTTATTTCAGACTTTCAGCCAATAATGACCAAAAAATAATAATATGAAGCTAAATTCACGAAAATAGAATGAGATTTAGCGGTAAACGCTGGTCTTACTGTATGTCGATATTTACAAATAGAATTCCTCCTCGTGTTAAAAAATATTAAACATACTCAGAATTAGACTCAGTACTGTAATACTGTAGTAACATATGTTTCCAGCTGTACTGTAATGATTATAATAATTTCTTTAGGGAACGTTTCGTAAGTAATTCTAATTTTGGATAAATATTTTTTTTCTTATCGCGGTTTATTATCTCCGGTAAATAAAAGCATCTTTTTACAGTAATGATAAATAAATATTTCATCATCTTAAATTTCCTTTTAAGGAATTTAAAAAGCAATAATTAAATGTGTTGGCGTAAAAACTTTAAAATCATGAACGAATTAAAAAATATATATTTATTCTGTTTTTATTATTATTATTATTATTATTTTTGTTGATGGGGTATTGAACTCTAAAATTTTTTTCATTGTCAAAAAGAAATAAACAAAAAAATTTGTTGAAATATTATTATTTTTTTTACTCTTTTGTTGGTATTTGTATGCTAGGTAATAGTAAATAAAGAAGCAAAACCATCATCATTAGGAAAGAACAAAGTGTTTCTCCTGTAAGAAAAATAATCTTGTAAACAAAAAAAAATAATCCTTTTGTTATGTTCAGCCGCTCATTATGAATTTACTATATTTGGAAATGTTTGTTTAACATCAAATTCAAAAAAAAAAATAAAATACAATAAAATAAGTAATTGGAAATTACTGGTAAAAAAAATTTACCAATAATTATGATTAATTTTAGACAGTAAAATGTTCTTGTACGTTTTAACAAAGGTAATTGGAAATTATCATTGATATCAAGAATAATGCTTACCAAAATTAACGTTATTGCAATATTTACTATAACGCCTTGCTTAAAAACTTCTCATTCAACGACTCCCAAATAGTTGTAAATGTAACCTGATTTTTCTTTTTCCAATTAATAAATCGGAATTCTAAACCAATATAGAAAATTTCTCAATGTTTCAAGCATGAATCACATGATCTTATAACGAAAAATTCCGCAAAAAAGATATTTTAATAAATATAACTTTACAAATAAATGTATTTTTTTTGTCTATTATGCAGGGTTATTTAATTGAGGGCGTCAAAGGTGCATTAAATGATCGCCTTATTTTGGATGGAAGTTGATACACCGTGTACAAATAGAAATTCCTATTAAAGTATATATGTGCATTTGTGTAATACCAGAGTTTGCTGGTTGAATTGCTAAATTGATTATTATTTATCTTACTAGAATAAAATGAATCACTTAATTAGTATTCATTGATTGATAACTCTTTTACATTAAAAAAATTCGTAGAATTTCAATAAAAAAAAAGGAAGAAAGAAAAAAAAAGCAAATTGCCCTTAATTATAATAGGATATAAAATAATTATGTATTTATGACGTAACAAGAAATTTTTCTCTAAAAATATATTTGAATGATATTTGGATGTCACAGATAGGCTACAACATGCGTATTATGTAGATAATAATCCACTTTATATAATTTTATTATATTCAATAAAAGAAATTGAAGTTCGGTTAGAAGAATGACCAAATTGGTATAGATTATTTATTACTAATTTTAAGAATCAATACTATAATCTTTAAAATGTTTGTGTATTGAAATTCGAAATAGGATTTCTAACGATATTTAAGTTATTCGAGTTTTTACTATAAACAGATTTTGCATTTCTAAATTAATAATTTACGATTTACAGAAATAAAACGACGATTTCGAATCATTTTGAATTAAGCTTAAGTGAAAATGAAAATGGTGTTTAAATTAAATATTGTTAATAAGCGAATATAAAAAATAAATCATATCATAAGTTTCGTTCTTAAAAAAAACTTTTGGGAACGTAATGTATCAAGTATCATATTGATTAAAAAGAAGAACCATTGAAAAATTGATGTGTGAATGGGGGATCCGTGTATTGTATTGATAATCGACTAATGCGATTTAAAGTATTGACATGTCTTATTTTTCGTCGTAGTGGTCGACGATTTCTTCGACGAATTACACGGGGCATTATAGGAATCTGCATAGAATCTATATCTTTTCTTTGATACTTAGAACTGATAGAAAAAAATAATGACGACAATTAAAAAAGAAATAATTCACTAAAAAAAATTTTTTTTCTTTCTTAAAGCTTACCACTCTAAATTCTCTGGAGAAGCAAATGTGTTTCCTTTTCTAATATAGTGACCACGTTGTGATACTTGTAATTGTTGAGCAACTTTTTGAGATAGTTGTTTAGAATACGAAGAGCTTTTACTTAGTTTCTCTTGTCCCTTTTGTTTGTGTTCTTCACGTATTATCGCTTGACGAATATCAAGTTGTTTGCAAACCTCTCTATGAGAGGAACTAAAATTAGTATCGTTCTGTTTATGAATTTGACCGAGATAATTAACAGGTTGGATGCCAGAATAAGTGATTGATGGTGGTTCCATTTTCTTCGTTTTGTTGTTCTCTCAAAACATTACTATTAAATTATAAATTTCATTTAAAGAAGTTTCGAATATTATTTTTCCTTTCAAAATGAGAACTGAACCAGGGGATTTATTTTATGTATAGTATACTGTATATATATATATATATATTTTTTTTGCTGATCAGGTATTTACTTTATTGACTCATTTATTTTTAACTAACTAATATATATATCGAAAAATATTATATAAACGTAAATAAAAAAAAAAATTTTTTTTTTTATAATAGTATAATTTATATTTATAAAAACCTGTATAACAAAAAAAAAAATTTTTTTTCAAAAAGATGACAAAAATACAAAATACTAAAATAGGATATTTAAAAAAACCATAAATAGTATAACAGATAAAGTCGATTATCATTCATTTTATTACGTACTATAAAAAAATTTATCCGTTATTTCTGTAAAAACTCCGTAAAAATGAGCCTTTCACGAATCCATTCACGGAATAAAAACGGATTACAGGGTAAATGTTAGTGTGCTTTTGCTTAATTAATGTTTTGTTTTCTTATTTTTAATTTCTTTACTCCATCTTTAACAAAAGTTTACCAACAGACTAATTTTTATTTAGATAGTTCTTCGGCTCCCTGGATGTGCGGAATTTTAATAAATGTAAATTTTGCTCTTAGGCTCTTCATTTTTTGCATATGGACGATCATTTTATGGCTGCAATTAGAGTATTAGACTCGCATTATTCACGTGATGCGTAATTTTGCACGTATTTTTTTTAAATTTTTTTAAAATATTAATATCCCCTCCTCTGTGGATAGGTAAAGACCCTCAGTGTCTATAGGGGGAACAAAAAAGAGGGAGTGGTGGAATATATACAGTATAATATTTTAAAAAATAATTGGTAGATAAGATAAAATTATTTTACTCAAATTTTATAATCTATCCAATCATCAAGATAATATTAGTAATTTGGTTTGGCCGAATATTGCCTCCTAATACATTGCAAAAATATTTCAAACTAATGTTTTCTAATTGAATTTCAAAACTAATGAGTTACTATGAAACGATAGCAATATTTTTACAATTCGTGACTATTTCGCTGATAAATAATCGATGCGAATTTATGGCATGATTATTTAGTAATTGATTAAGCAACAAAACACAGGTTCCTGTAAAGCGCTTAATTGTCAAAAAAATTATCCACGAAAAAAATTTTTACATCCAATTTATTAAAAAAAATACATTTAAATTAAAATTTATACTACTTTTAAAAATATATTAATTGGTTGCAAATTATTTTTATTATATTTTGAATAAAAATTCTTTCAGGCTTGATCAAATGGAGAGCTTTGAAATTATCAGCCGGATCCTAATTATTAAATTAGAATTAATATTTTTTACTATTTATTATTATTATTATTATTAAAAAAATATGTTAAATTAACATTTCTATTTAAATATATCATATTAGTTATTAATTGTTTGAAATTATTTTTAATAAAAATTCTTTGGGTTAGAAATTTAATTCTTGATACCCAACAAGATCTGTTATAGAAGCTAATAATGTGCAAAAATCGGAGGAACATTGTTAATTAAATGTAAATTCATTATTTCTTAAATTTAATAATTAGTGTATTTAATCGAGTCGATTATTTAAAAATTCTCATTGAAATAATGATCGACATTAGATTACTTTCATGCATCCATGCACAATTACGTTTTAGTAATACCTTACTTTTATTTAAATGCGCAAACTTGCATAAGAAGAAAAAAAAAAAAAAGAAATATTAACTTCGTCAATAAAAAAGTCAAGTAACTAAACAATGTCTGAAAACAATGAATCTAATATACCTGTAAAATTTACTGGAAATTCAAATAATGAGTGGATTAATTGGATTGAAGAAGCTATCGCAAAAGATTACTTCAAATATTACGAATACAACCAATTTAGTAATTTTCAAGAAATTGGGAGCGGAGGCTTTGGAAAAGTTTACCGTGCCAACTGGAGAAGCTCTAATGTTTATTTAGCATTGAAATCATTTTATAATTACAATGATATTACAATCAAGGAAATTGTTAAAGAGGTAACAGAGATATATTTTTACTTAATATAATAATACGATATTTTCTAATTTAAAATTTTATTTAGCTTAAAATTCAGCGTGAAGTAGATTTTCATAAGAATGTTATTCGTTTCTTTGGTATTACAGGTACAATATATTTTCTTTTATGATTATTTTGACTATAAATTCTGATTAAATATTTTATTTTATTTTTTTATAAGAAAATCAAAATGATAATTCAAAAAATTATTGGTTAGTAATGGAATATGCAGACAGTGGTACTCTTCAAGAATATTTGAAGGAGCATTTTGATAAACTTACTTGGGATGATAAATCTAATATGGCACTTCAGTTAGCCTGTGCTATACTATGCTTACATGATGAAGGGATTATTCACCGTGATTTGGTAACTCATTTATTTACATTTACCATTTTATATATTCTGTTATATCTTTTGAATAATAATTAATAAACTTATTGTAAATAGCATCCTAGAAATGTATTAGTACATCAAAATATGATTAAATTAGCAGATTTTGGGTTATCAAAAAGAATTGAAGAATCATCCAGCCTCCAGTCTTCAAAATTATTTGGGGTAATCCCTTATATAGATCCAAAAAAACTTAATAATGATAATTACAAATTAAATAAAAAAAGTGATATTTATAGTATTGGAATACTTTTATGGGAGATATCTAGTGGTAAATCTCCTTATAAAGGATCAAATACTATTAGTTTAGCGATTAAAATAGTAAATGGCGAAAGAGAGAAACCTATTCCAGATACTCCCGAAGATTATGTAAACATTTATACTGGTAAATATAATTAAAATACAATTATAGTATGATTTATATTGAGTATTGCTAATATCACTATTTGTGACGGACTACCAAAATTAGAGTGGAGTTCTGGGCAGAGTTAAAAATGTGAAATTCTGCTTAAAATTTTACCTAATGCACTGGTGAGATTTAGCAATTTTCTATATTAATAATGTTAATTATTATGTATTTTTTAGATTGTTGGAATTATGAACCAGATAATCGTCCAACCGCCAATCAGGTTGTCTCTAGATTAGATGCAATTGTTCCAAAGAACAATAATATAATTATAAATGATTTTCAGTTAGATGATTCTCATACAAACATCCAATTATCAAACAATAAGCAATATAATTCAAATGCTTCTGAGGATTCTAGTAATAAGTCATATTCTAGTAATAAGTTGTATGAAGAATCACAAATCATTCAATTAGAATCTCCACTGTTGTTAAATGATAATTTTATATTAAAAGTTGATGAAATGGTTGAACTTCTTAATAAGATAGCGATAGAAGTGGAAGAAGAAGATAGTCAAAACATTTATAATTATCTTAATAATCATAATATAACTTCAAAAGAAATTTATAATTGGATATTAAATAATCAAAATCATTCAAACTCTATTGTTTTGCTTGGGGATTTTAATTATTTAGGAATTGAAATTAATGTTAATCAAAAAAAGGCATTTGAATTATATCAAGAAGCTGCAAATTCAGGAAATATTATAGCTCAATATAATCTTGGATGTTGTTATCGATATGGAAAAGGTGTTGATAAAGATTTTGATAAAGCTTTTGAATTATTTGAAAAATTAGATAAAATAGGATATTCAAAAGGAACAAATTATTTAGGATATTGTTATTTTAAAGGAATTGGAACTAGTATTAATAAACAAAAAGCATTTGAATTATATCAAAAGGTAGCAAATTTAGAAAATACATATGGAATAGTTAATTTGGGATATTGTTATCAAAATGGAATTGGAACTGATATTAATAAAAATAAGTCATTTGAATTATTCCAAAAAGCAGCAGATTTAGGAAATGCATCTGGAATGAATAATTTAGGGTATTGTTATGAAAAAGGAATTGGAACTGATATTGATAAGAAAAAAGCATTTGAATTATATCAAAAAGCAGCAAATTTAGGTAATTCATATGGAATAAACACTTTAGGAGATTGTTATAGAAATGGATTTGAAACTGATCTTGATGAGAAAAAGGCATTTGAGTTATATCAAAGGTCGGCAGATTTAGGAAATGTATTTGGAATAAATAATTTAGGATATTGTTATCAGAATGGAATTGGAACTGATATTGATAAGAAAAAAGCATTTGAATCATATCAAAAAGCAGCAGATTTAGGAAATATATTTGGAATAAATAATTTAGGATTTTGTTATAAAAATGGATTTGGAACTGATGTTAATAAGGAAAAGGCATTTGATTTATTTAATAAAGCAGCAAATTTAGAAGATGCATCTGGATTATATAATTTAGGATATTGCTATGAATATGGAATTGGAATTGATATTGATAAGAGAAAGGCATTTGAATTATACCAAAAAGCAGCAAATTTAGGTGATGCATCTGGATTAAACACTTTAGGAAACTGTTATAGAAATGGATTTGAAACTGTTATTGATAGAAAAAAGGCATTTGATTTATATCAAAAAGCAGCAGATTTGGGAAATGCATCTGGAATATATAATTTAGGATACTGTTATGAATATGGAATTGGAACTGATATTGATGTGAAAAAATCATTTGAATTATACCAAAAAGCAGCAGATTTAGGAAATGTATTTGGAATGGTTAATTTAGGAGATTGTTATAAAAATGGAATTGGAACTAATATAAATAAACAAAAAGCATTTGAGTTGTTTCAAAAGGCTGCAAATTTAGGAAATGTAGATGGAATAAATTTTTTAGGAGATTGTTATCGTTGTGGAATTGGAACTAAAATCAATAAACAAAAAGCATTTAAATTATTTCAAAAGTCAACAAATTTAGGAAATGCAGTTGGAATAAGCTATTTAGGATATTGTTATCACTATGGAATTGGAACTAGAGTTAATAAACAAAAAGCATTTGAGTTATATAAAAAAGCAGCAAATTTAGGAAATAATATGGCTCAAAATAATCTTACTATTTTAAATAAGGAATGGTGAAAATTACAAGCGTTTTATTAGCAAGAAATTTGTCAAACAGTTTCCTAATTAAAGATCTATATAAGTATCAAATGAATAATATCTATGTATAATTTTTCTTATAAAGCAATAAATAAATTTTCTATGATTTACAGTATTTGTAAGAATTATTATTTATTATATCCTAATAAAATAAAATACATTTGCTGGTTGAGTGGGTAGGACCCAGAAATATATATATAAAGGTCAGGTGGCGAAAATTTTTTTTACTATGAGCTGTATGCAGAGACTTTTTATATGAGTAGTACACATAATTGACACCTGATATTGAAAATCCTGCAAAAATATGCAAATAAAATTTCAGACATTAAGTTATTAATTATTTTATCATGACTTTATACTATTATTTATAAAACTAAATACTAATGTGAAAAATAGAATTTATTCTAATTTACCATTTTTTCAATAATATTTTCTAAATTTTCACTTTTTAACCCTTAGAAATTTCTTTCAATTAATTCTAAATATTACAATGCGGTTAATGTACAGTAAATATATGGGATTAGCCAAGCAAATTTAAGCCAAAAATACGCAAACTAATTTTTTACATATAAAAATTTTGATAAAAATATGCAATCTTGATAACATGAAAAATTCTTAGATTGTACGCAAATCAAAACTTTACTCTGTCTAATTTCACTATGATGGCGACGCATCTGTGTACCCTACTCCTGTATATATATTTCTGGGTCCTAGTGGGATGTTTTTCAGAAAAATTTTATGTATATATAAAATATTATTTCTCTAATAAAATACTGATTCCCATGAGGGTAAATTTTTTAAAAAATAAAATAAAAAAAAAAACCCCGAGACTAAAAGTATTTGTGGCGAGTTTGTTCTGTGGTGGACTTCCCCATGGCACAAAATGGCCAGTGTAATGCCGTAATATACCTATTAAATTTAGTAATTATGAGGCGCAGTATTATATTTAAAATTAGTGTATAAATTTTTAATATTATGAAATTGTGTTTTAATTGGTCCGCAATGACGTTAAACTAAGGATCGAGTGAATAAGGAAATAAAGGAATAAATGTCAGTGATGACGTAAAACTAATTGATTAGAAAATTACATGAATAATTTATTCAAGTGAGTATGTCTTAGAAAGGAATAGTCAAAATTTATGTTGTAGAGCATTTGATTGGAAAATATTAAGTCGATCATTTGATGAAATTATGAAAGTAGAACGTCAGGATATTTAAAAAGGACATGAATCTGATCAGAGTGAAATATAATAATTTGAGAAAAATTAGAAATTTTAGAAAATGATACAAACATATATTTTACTCTAGAATAGTTAATATTCGAATCTTTTTAACTTTTTCTTATGATGAAAAAGTGCCACATTAATTAAATTAATGGTATTAAAAGATCTTTAATATGAGGGGAAATTATCGCAATTTAGAATTTAGGAGAAATAATGTATTTTTATTAAACAAGCATACTTTTGACATTATTAGGCCTAGATCATTACACTGGCACTACGGATTTGGATGGCATATCATGTGATTTCGTGATAGGCAATCATCTGTGGCGCGGCAACCTAAAAGATGAATCTTTTCTCGAAATTTCCAAATAAAAAAAGTAATCAATCAAATGGTATGCTAACAAGCTAATCAAATAATGATATTTTTATCACTTAACTGAATATTACTTTGAAGCATTATTATTACATTGACCGAGAATCAACTAAATTTGGAATTATACTCAAAATTAAAGATTGTGAGACTAACGAAAAGATGAATTTTTGACATCTATTTTGAAACTGGAGTTATAAACTTGTTACAATATATAACTAACCAAACATTGATTTCATAAAAATAAAGCCATTAGTTAGCCGCGATCCAGACAAGAAAATTTCGTAAAATTAAATTTTATGAAACTGTGCCATTTTGTAAGTATTCATGAAACTATATATATTTTATCACAAGAGGTATAAAGAAAGTTTAGTTCTTGCCACCATCAGGAGATTAAATTATGTGTATATTAATCATTAATGTAGATTTATCAAATATGGGTAATCCCGAAAATTTACACCTTGAAAAAACTCGTAAATACGCGATATTGTTTAATTTACACTTAAAATATAGTATTTGATAATTCGTGTCTAAAATAATTGCATAGATTTTTTATAAACAGTTAGTTTCAAAAATCTATATTCTGAAAAATTGTATAAATACATAATTTTGAGTATTCTATATATAAAATCACAGTCTAAAATATTTCAACAAATTTCCATCTAAAAAAAAATTGTGTAAATTTACATAAACAAGTAGTTTCGGATATTCACATTCTAAAAA